GCCGAGGACAGCCAGGAAGTCCAGAGGCCAGGCCTGGCACTTAACTTGTGGAACTCCTTGCCAGAGGATGTTGTGAAGGCCAAGACTATAACAGGGTTCAAAAAAGAACTAGATAAGTCCACAGAGGGTAGATCCATCAATGGCTATTAACCAGGATGGGCAGGGAGGGTGTCCCTAGCCTCTATTTGCCAGATGCTGGGAATGGGCGAGGGGATGGATCACTTGTTCTGTTCATTCCCTTTGGGCCACCTGGCACTGGCCACTGTCGGCCAACAGGATACTGGGCTAGATGGACCTTTGGTCTGACCCAATCTTGCCCTTCTTATGTTCTTATGGCATGGTCAGGCCACAGAGCCAGAAACAGACACACGGCCCCCTGGGAGCCCCCCCACAGAGAACAGTGCTAAACCACCTGTAGTGAGGAATCCATCCCCTCCCCCACATGGGATCCCAGGGAATCCACCCCTCTTTTCCCCCCCTCCCTGGCAGTACCCAGCATCAGCTGCTCCCAGGCAGGAACAGGAGCCCCCCTGGCATTTCTGGAACACTCCCCTGGCCCCAGCAGCACGTGCCTGGCTCACGCACAGCTCTGCCCACACACGGTAACCACGGGCACCCTCATTCTTCACACAGTGTCCCTGAGCTCACGCTTGGCTTCACGGATTCCATGTGGCAGTAAGTTCCACTGGCTAGTTACGCCCAGTGTAAAGAGGTTCCTTTCCTCCATTTTAACCTGCTGCCCAGGTTTCAGTCCTACGTCCCCAGGCCAGCAGGGACCACTGTGACCAACTGGTCCGACCCCCACACCCAGCACAGGGCAGAGACCTGCCGTCCAGTAACCGCTAGAGCAGGGCTGTTAGCAAACACCAGCTCCCCACTGAACCATGGCCAGGGACGGAGAATCCTCCACCCCCGCAAGGAAACTGTTCTAATTCCCCTACCTGTCCAAAATTGGCACCTGGAGGCGTGTAGCATCAGCCTCCAGCCCCAGGGTCGGGTACCCCTTCGCTGCCCCTCACCCACGATTTGTTCCCCAGTCGGCCCGGACACGCTGGGGTCCCTCACCCCGGCCCGGCTCGTGGCGGAGTTAACCAGACTGAGCTCCTTGCCTCTGTCACGACAAGGCAGGTTTCTGACCCTCTAAGACCCTCTAATCGCTTCCATGGCCCCTGCAATGTCGAGCTGACCTCTGCCCTGTGGCCAGGCAAGCGGATTAATGGCGCTGGGTCCCTCCCCCTCCAGGGTTTGTCCTGGTCTCATTTTACCCCATTTCTTGCTAGCTGCTAGACCAGGCGTAATGAAACAACCCGGCTGCTTACGGCACCTGCCACCCCGTCAACCAAATTGTCTTCATCCCTCCGACCGGACCCAAGCCTGGAGTCCCGGGGCCCTGGCGCTTCCCTGGCCACACCGAACACACACAAGCAGGCCTTTTCGATCACCTGCTGTGGGGCCATGACTTCAGCTAACACCCAGACTCCACTTACACCCGCCCGTGCCCAGGTGGGGTCAGGCCTAGACCCCTACAAGCGCGCCCCAAACCCCTGGAGCCCCCCAGCGCCTCAGGGCGCCCCCGTTCCTTGCGGCCAGCGTTCACACGGGGCTGCGATGACACGCGGTTTGCCTGTGCCAGGTCACAAAGCGACACCTGAGCCGGCCGCTGCAGGACGCCGCCGCCCGCCCCAGCCCCCCCGGGGCGCTGCCCAGCCCCGGCTGGTTCTCGTCCGGCGCCGGGGAGAGCCCAGCCCTGCTCCCCGGGCGCCGCTGGCCGGCGAGCTGGGCACGGCCCCTGCCGCCGCCCCGTCCGCGGGGTGCCCGGGCTCCGGCAGCGGCGGGGTGCCCGGACTCGGCCCCGCGGGGGGCCCTGGGCGCCAGGACCCCGCGCCCCCCCGGTCCTTACGAAGTTGGCGGTGACGCGGGGGCGCGGCGCTCCGGCGCGGGGCCCGGCCAGCAGCAGGGCGGCGGCCAGCAGGAGCAGCGGGGCGCCGGGCGCGGGGCGCCCCATCAGCGGGGCTGGCACATGGCGGCGCGGGGCGCGCACGGCCCCGGCCCCGCAGCGCCCGCCCCCCGGCCGGGCCGGCTCCGCCACATTCCGGCCCGCCCCAGTTAATCATCGCGGGGCGGGGCCGGGCCGGGCCGCCCCCCGGCGCCCTCCGCCCCCGCAGCCCCGGACCGGGCTCCCCCCGCCCCCGGAAAGCGGCCCCCGCCGCAGTGCTGCGGCCCAGCTACCTGGCGGCCCCCAGGTGCGGCGGGGGTGCCCGGAGCGGGCAGCCCAGGCGGCAGGGGGACAGCTGGTGCAAGGGGGAAGTTAAGGTGCAAGTTAAGGAAGTATGGGCTGGATGAATGCACTACAAGGTGGGTAGAAAGCTGGCTAGATTGTCGGGCTCAACGGGTAGTGATCAATGGCTCCATGTCTAGTTGGCAGCCGGTATCAAGTGGAGTGCCCCAAGGGTCGGTCCTGGGGCCGGTTTTGTTCAATATCTTCATAAATGATCTGGAGGATGGTGTGGATTGCACTCTCAGCAAGTTTGCCGATGATACTAAACTGGGAGGAGTGGTAGATACGCTGGAGGGGAGGGATAGGATACAGAAGGACCTAGACAAATTGGAGGATTGGGCCAAAAGAAATCTGATGAGGTTCAATAAGGATAAGTGCAGGGTCCTGCACTTAGGACGGAAGAACCCAATGCACAGCTACAGACTAGGGACCGAATGGCTAGGCAGCAGTTCTGCGGAAAAGGACCTAGGGGTGACAGTGGACGAGAAGCTGGATATGAGTCAGCAGTGTGCCCTTGTTGCCAAGAAGGCCAATGGCATTTTGGGATGTATAAGTAGGGGCATAGCGAGCAGATCAAGGGACGTGATCGTTCCCCTCTATTCGACATTGGTGAGGCCTCATCTGGAGTACTGTGTCCAGTTTTGGGCCCCACACTTCAAGAAGGATGTGGATAAATTGGAAAGAGTCCAGCGAAGGGCAACAAAAATGATTAGGGGTCTGGAACACATGAGTTATGAGGAGAGGCTGAGGGAGCTGGGATTGTTTAGCCTGCAGAAGAGAAGAATGAGGGGGATTTGATAGCTGCTTTCAACTACCTGAAAGGGGGTTCCAAAGAGGATGGCTCTAGACTGTTCTCAATGGTAGCAGATGACAGAACGAGGAGTAATGGTCTCAAGTTGCAGTGGGGGAGGTTTAGGTTGGATATTAGGAAAAACTTTTTCACTAAGAGGGTGGTGAAACACTGGAATGCGTTACCTAGGGAGGTGGTGGAATCTCCTTCCTTTGAAGTTTTTAAGGCCCGGCTTGACAAAGCCCTGGCTGGGATGATTTAACTGGGATTTGGTCCTGCTTCGAGCAGGGGGTTGGACTAGATGACCTCCTGAGGTCCCTTCCAACCCTGATATTCTATGATTCTATGACCCCGCAGGGGTGGCTCCTGCCAGGGATCTGGCCCCCAGGTGTCTGCCAGGAGCTGCCCCAGAGACCCCGCAGCAGCACGCAGCTAACACCTGTTTCCTGGCAGCTGGGACACGGGGACCAGGCCTGGGACCCTCGAGTGGAACAAACATCATGGGCAGGGGGTGTAGCCCCCGCTTCCCTCCAGGGCCCCTGGCCTTGCAACAGAGGGGGTCGCTCCCCCCGAGGGAGCGCCCCTCTCCCCCCAGGCCCAGTAGATGCTGATGACAATTATGGCTAGCACCCAGCGGATCAGAGCCCCGGTGCAGGGCACTGCCCCCCTCCCCCGGACAGCCCGTGCCCCAGAAACCTCCCTGTGTCCCCATTGCCCCCTCCCCAGGGCGCTGGCCCCGGACAGCCCATCCCCCAGAAACCTCCCTGTGTCCCCATTGCCCCCTCCCCAGGGCGCTGGCCCAGGACAGCCCATCCCCTAGAAACCTCCCCGTGTCCCCATTGCCCCCTCCCCAGGGCGCTGGCCCAGGACAGCCGGCCCAGGACAGCCCATCCCCCAGAAACCTCCCTGTGTCCCCATTGCCCCCTCCCCAGGGCGCTGGCCCAGGACAGCTCATCCCCCAGAAACCTCCCTGTGTCCCCATTGCCCCCTCCCCAGGGCGCTGGCCCCGGACAGCTCATCCCCCAGAAACCTCCCTGTGTCCCCATTGCCCCCTCCCCAGGGCGCTGGCCCAGGACAGCCGGCCCAGGACAGCCCATCTCCCAGAAACCTCCCTGTGTCCCCATTGCCCCCTCCCCAGGGCGCTGGCCCAGGACAGCCGGCCCAGGACAGCCCATCCCCCAGAAACCTCCCTGTGTCCCCATTGCCCCCGCCCAGGGCGCTGGCCCAGGACAGCCCATGCCCCAGAAAGCTCCCTGTGTCCCCACTGCCGCCCCCGCCCAGGGCACTGCGTGCGAGCAGGCAGCTGGGACAATGGGAACACGGCGGTTGACCTGGTTTATTTCAGGCTTCCTGTGAGACTGCGGCAGCCTGCACAGAAACCCACACAGCTGGGCGGCACGTGCAGCAGCTGCAGCCTGCTCCTCACACGCTCACCTCCATTCCGGGCGCACGTGGCAGCTGGGCTCTGTCCTGGAGGTCCTGCTGGGTGGGCAGCCTGAGGCCCGGCATCCCCCAGACACAGAGCTGGCAGGGAGCCCCTTGTTTGACAGCAAACAGCCCAGCCCCCAGCACCACTTAGGGAGAAGTCTGTAACATTGGTATGAAGCCTGCATGCCTCAGTTTCCCCTATACATTGTTGCAGGGAGGGGGAGGGCTGTGTGCTCTGGGGCAGGCTAGCAGACAGAGGGAGGGTGTCCCCAGCTGCTTGGGCCTCAATCCCCCTATCAGTGGAGCATGGGGAAGACAATGGGGAATCCAGCACCTGGCAACGAAGATCAGCAGGGGTCTAGGCACTGCCATTCCCAGGGTTTCTGGGAACCCAGCAGCAGGACAGACTCGGGGAGCAGCTAAGGGACACAAATCAATGCAGGGCAGTGAGGGGCATCTGCCCTTTCCCCACCCCCTGGAAGACAGAGTGCTGGAGGCTACATGTTCAGCAAGGCGGCTCTTTATTTCATCCCATCGCTGGGGCAGGGGCACCTGGCCTGAGACCACTGGCTCGCTGGTGACCTGGAGCCGTTCATTCCCTGTCGGAGCACGGAATGCACCCGGCTGCGGGGGAAGGGAGAAACCTGCATGCCCCCAGGGCAATCTGGGCAGGGCACTGGTGCAGACTGGGCCTCAGACACAAACATCAGCCCAGCACAAGCCACTGTGGTAGTGGGCAGTGCCACGCCAACCAGCGTCTGCAGCCCTGGGGCTGTGCCATGTCATCAGACTTCAGGGCAGAGGCACTGGGGTCAGGGCACCTTTCTGCTCCATGAAATGGGGATATCAGTAAGGGCTGGTGGCTGCCCCCCCTTGTGCTACACCTGGGCCCCTCTCATCCCAGCCAACCGGGCAGAGGCACCAAAGCCGAGTGCTGCTGGGGACTTCTGGTGAGGGGACCCTGGTTGCATGAGGACTGCCCCCCTACCCAGCTCTGGCCCATGTTCAGTCACTGCAGCCAGGGCTAGGGTTGGAGGGGCCCTGAGCGCACTCCGGCTGGCTGCCTGGCAGGGCAGCCCAATCTATAGGGAGCTTTCAGTGTTTACCAGCAGAGCTGCCCAAAAGTGGGGACCCCCACCATGGTGCCATCCAGCCCCCTGGGGATGTGGCACCCCCCACCCCTCCAAGTCACACAGGTGTGTGGCCCCCAGCCCCTCTTCATTTCCTCTTCTTCTCCTGCGTGCTGGCGAACCAGGAGTCCAGGAGCTTCTTGCTGTAGTAGAGCTGCCAGCCATGCACCTGTGCCGCCACCAGCAGCAGCAGGTACATGGCGGAGACGGCAGAGACGCCGAAGATGAAGCGGTAGGCCTTGCCGTGGCGGTAGAGCTGCTGCGCCATGGGGAACATCTCCATGCTGCCGTAGATGAGGGGTGCCACCGAGAACAGGCCTGTGCTGATCATGGACAGCACCAGGTAGCTGATGTTGTTGCGGGGAAGGACATGAGGCCGAAGAGAGAGGGGATGATGCTGAGCAGATAGGGGTACTCCCACTGGTAAGGCATGGCCACCTGGTCATGGGGCAGCAGCTTCAGGTGACCCACACACATCTGGGCCAGGAGCAGCAGCCAGATGGCCACCTGCACGTAGATCAGCTTCTTTATCTCGGACTTCAGGGCCACACTGCAGAGAGGGAGAAAGCCAGGCTCAGGCTGGCACTTCGATGGGCTCCCTGGCTTTGCCTAAGGGGGCTGGGCAGGAAGGACTCAGACAGGAGAGGTGGCAGTCAGGCTGCCAAGAGCTGTGGACAGAGCCTGAAGCCTGCCTGAACCTCAGCTGGGCCCCAGGACCCCAACAGAGCAAGGCTGCAAACCAGCCCCTGGCAGCATGTGTCTCCCTGGGGTACAGCTGAAGTCACCAGCAGTGCGTGATCCTGGAGCACTAGCCTGAAGGCTACGGAGCAGGGTGAACCCGGCAGGAAGGGCAGATTCCTCTGAGTAGGTCCCGGGGGAAGCAGCTGCTGGGTGTGAAGCCTGACTGAGCCACTTCCCCTGGCAGACGGGGGGCCTCCCCACCTGACTGGGGCTCGGGGCAGAGTGCTCCAGGACAAGCACAACAGAATTAAACTGCAGGTCAGCCCGGGCGCTCTCTGGCCCTCTGCCCCCTGCCAGCCACAGCCACAAGCAGCCTGGTTTGTGGCGGGAACACCTATGGCCATGGGAGCAGGGCATTAGCCTACAATGCTCACTCTGGTGGGAGCTGCTCGTGACCCAGAGCTGGTGTGCACAGCACCTCTGGCTTTCCCGTGGGCTGGGCAGGGAGGAGGCTGCACTGCAGCATAAGAGACCTGCCCTGGACACACACACCCTGCCCTGGCTTGGACCTTCAGCTGCTCAGACAGGTCCAGTGACCCCTTGAATCCCAGCACACAGTGCCCTGGGGACAGACATATTCCAGGGCCCAGGGAATGCCCAGCCATTCATGGACACCAGCTCGGCCCTGCTGGGCAGCTCCGCACCCTCCCCCAGCTCACTGGGCAGGGACTCAGAATAGGGCGCAAGGACTCAAGGGGCTCAACCCAGCCTGCACTCAGACCTACCTCATCTGGTAATGGGAGGCCACCCTCTCGCGATGCTGGTAGTCACTCCCATCAGTGCCCTCAGCCCGGGGGCCCGCACGGGAGGCCATTGCGCTAGGCACCCCAAACCCTGCCAGAGAGATGGGTGGTGTGAGCCAGGGGGCACGCTGCCGTTTGGGGTACGGACACCAGTACCCACAGGAGCTCTGTGCCCCGAATCACGCTGGGGGAACAGGGCAGGAATCCCGGGCAGGCCCAGCTGGGCGCCACAAGTGAAAACACACGAGATTACATGGATCCTGTGACCGCAGGCAGCCACCCCCCATGGCTGGGGCTCCCCCTCCCTCCTCCAGCCAACCCCCCACCCCCCCGAACACAGCCCATGGCTGGGGCTCCCCCTCCCAAACACAGCCCATGGCTGGGGCTCCCCCCTCCCTCCCTCCCCTCCCCCCCCAGCCAACCCCCCCCCACGCATAGCCCATGGCTGGGGCTCCCCCTCCCTCCCCCAGCCAACCCCCCACCCCCCCCGAACACAGCCCATGGCTGGGGCTCCCCCTCCCTCCCCCAGCCAACCCCCCACCCCCCCGAACACAGCCCATGGCTGGGGCTCCCCCTCCCTCCCCCAGCCAACCCCCCACCCCCCCGAACACAGCCCATGGCTGGGGCTCCCCCTCCCTCCCCCAGCCAACCCCCCACCCCCCCGAACACAGCCCATGGCTGGGGCTCCCCCTCCCTCCTCCAGCCAACCCCCCACCCCCCGAACACAGCCCATGGCTGGGGCTGCCCCTCCCAAACACAGCCCATGGCTGGGGCTCCCCCTCCCTCCCTCCCTCCCCCCCAGCCAACCCCCCCCCACGCATAGCCCATGGCTGGGGCTCCCCCTCCCTCCCCCAGCCAACCCCCCACCCCCCCGAACACAGCCCATGGCTGGGGCTCCCCCTCCCTCCCCCAGCCAACCCCCCACCCCCCCGAACACAGCCCATGGCTGGGGCTCCCCCCTCCCTCCGCCAGCCAACCCCCCACCCCCCGAACACAGCCCATGGCTGGGGCTCCCCCTCCCTCCGCCAGCCAACCCCCCACCCCCCCCGAACACAGCCCATGGCTGGGGCTCCCCCCTCCCTCCGCCAGCCAACCCCCCACCCCCCCAAACACAGCCCATGGCTGGGGCTCCCCCCCTCCGCCAGCCAACCCCCCACCCCCCCAAACACAGCCCATGGCTGGGGCTCCCCCTCCCTCCGCCAGCCAACCCCCCACCCCCCCAAACACAGCCCATGGCTGGGGCTCCCCCCCCTCCGCCAGCCAACCCCCCACCCCCCAAACACAGCCCATGGCTGGGGCTCCCCCCCCCCCCCAGCCAACCCCCCCACCCCCCAAACACAGCCCATGGCTGGGGCTCCCCCTCCCTCCGCCAGCCAACCCCCCACCCCCCCAAACACAGCCCATGGCTGGGGCTCCCCCTCCCTCCGCCAGCCAACCCCCCACCCCCCCAAACACAGCCCATGGCTGGGGCTCCCCCCCTCCCCCAGCCAACCCCCCACCCCCCAAACACAGCCCATGGCTGGGGCTCCCCCTCCCTCCCCCAGCCAACCCCCCCACCCCCCAAACACAGCCCATGGCTGGGGCTCCCCCCTCCTCCAGCCAACCCCCCACCCCCCGAACACAGCCCATGGCTGGGGCTCCCCCCCTTCCTCCAGCCAACCCCCCACCCCCCAAACACAGCCCATGGCTGGGGCTCCCCCCCCCCAGCCAACCTCCCACCCCCCCGAACACAGCCCATGGCTGGGGCTCCCCCCCCTCCAGCCAACCCCCCACCCCCCAAACACAGCCCATGGCTGGGGCTCCCCCTCCCTCCGCCAGCCAACCCCCCACCCCCCCGAACACAGCCCATGGCTGGGGCTCCCCCTCCCTCCCCCAGCCAACCCCCCCAAACACAGCCCATGGCTGGGGCTCCCCCTCCTTCCCCCAGCCAACACCCCACCCCCCAAACACAGCCCATGGCTGGGTTTCCCCCCTCCCCCCCCAGCCAACCCCCCACCCCCCAAACACAGCCCATGGCTGGGGCTCCCCCTCCCTCCCCCAGCCAACCCCCCAAACACAGCCCATGGCTGGGGCTCCCCCTCCTTCCCCCAGCCAACACCCCACCCCCCAAACACAGCCCATGGCTGGGTTTCCCCCTCCCTCCCCCAGCCAACCCCCCACCCCCCCCGAACACAGCCCATGGCTGGGGCTCCCCCCCCCCCCAGCCAAGCCCCCACCCCCCCAAACACAGGCAATGGCTGGGGCTCCCCCTCCCTCCCCCAGCCAACCCCCCACCCCCCCCCAAACACAGCCCATGGCTGGGGCTCCCCCCCCCCCCAGCCAACCCCCCACCCCCCCCGAACACAGCCCATGGCTGGGGCTCCCCCAGCCAAGCCCCCACCCCCTCCCCCAGCCAAGCCCCCACCCCCCCCAAACACAGCCCATGGCTGGGGCTCCCCCCCCCCCCAGCCAACCCCCCACCCCCCCAAACACAGCCCATGGCTGGGGCCCCCCCCTCCCCCAGCCAACCCCCCACCCCCCCGAACACAGCCCATGGCTGGGGCTCCCCCCTCCCCCCAGCCAACCCCCCACCCCCCCGAACACAGCCCATGGCTGGGGCTCCCCCAGCCAACCCCCCAAACACAGCCCATGGCTGGGGCTCCCCCTCCCAGCCCCCCTCTCCCACCTGCCACGGACGGAGCCGGCGTGCCCAGGACACTCTATCACCTCGGCGTTATTCTCTATGGTGTGCGTCAGTCCCTTCTTGCTCGCGGAAGGCCAACTCTATGGTTACCCTGAGGCGGGCTCGTCTCCACCACGGGAGGCCCGGATGTAGGATTGTGCCTCGTGCCCAGGGCGCGACAGGGGCGGAGCCGGGGGCGTGGTCTCTGCCCGGGGGCGGAGCCGGGGGCGTGGTCTCTGCCCGGGGGTGGAGCCGGGGGCGTGGGCCCTGCCCGGGCGAGGAGCCGGGGGCGTGGTCTCTGCCCGGGGGTGGAGCCGGGGGCGTGGTCTCTGCCCGGGGGGGGGAGCCGGGGCGGTCTCTGCCCGGGCGAGGAGCCGGGGGCGTGGTCTCTGCCCGGGGGCGGAGCCGGGGGCGTGGTCTCTGCCCGGGGGAGGAGCCGGGGGCGTGGGCCCTGCCCGGGGGAGGAGCCGGGGGCGTGGTCTCTGCCCGGGGGTGGAGCCGGGGCCGTGGGCACTGCCTGGGCGAGGAGCCGGGGGCGTGGTCTCTGCCCGGGGGGGAGCCGGGGGCGGTCTCTGCCCGGGGGAGGAGCCGGGGGCGTGGTCTCTGCCCGGGGGAGGAGCCGGGGGCGTGGTCTCTGCCCGGGGGTGGAGCCGGGGCCGTGGGCACTGCCCGGGCGAGGAGCCGGGGGCGTGGTCTCTGCCCGGGGGCGGAGCCGGGGGCGTGGTCTCTGCCCGGGGGTGGAGCCGGGGGCGTGGGCCCTGCCCGGGCGAGGAGCCGGGGGCGTGGTCTCTGCCCGGGGGAGGAGCCGGGGGCGTGGTCTCTGCCCGGGCGAGGAGCCGGGGGCGTGGTCTCTGCCCGGGGGAGGACCCGGGGGCGTGGTCTCTGCCCGGGGGAGGAGCCGGGGGCGTGGGCCCTGCCCGGGGGAGGAGCCGGGGGCGTGGTCTCTGCCCGGGGGAGGAGCCGGGGGCGTGGTCTCTGCCCGGGGGTGGAGCCGGGGCCGTGGACACTGCCCGGGCGAGGAGCCGGGGGCGTGGTCTCTGCCCGGGGGGGAGCCGGGGGCGGTCTCTGCCCGGGGGTGGAGCCGGGGCCGTGGGCACTGCCCGGGCGAGGAGCTGGGGGCGTGGTCTCTGCCCAGGGGCGGAGCCGGGGGGCGTGGTCTCTGCCCGGGGGCGGAGCCGGGGGCGTGGTCTCTGCCCGGGGGCGGAGCCGGGGGCGTGGTCTCTGCCCGGGGGCGGAGCCGGGGGCGTGGTCTCTGCCCGGGCGAGGAGCCGGGGGCGTGGTCTCTGCCCGGGGGAGGAGCCGGGGGCGTGGTCTCTGCCCGGGGGTGGAGCCGGGGCCGTGGACACTGCCCGGGCGAGGAGCCGGGGGCGTGGTCTCTGCCCGGGGGCGGAGCCGGGGGCGTGGTCTCTGCCCGGGCGAGGAGCCGGGGGCGTGGTCTCTGCCCGGGCGAGGAGCCGGGGGCGTGGTCTCTGCCCGGGCGAGGAGCCGGGGGCGTGGTCTCTGCCCGGGGGAGGAGCCGGGGGCGTGGGCACTGCCCAGGCGAGGAGCCGGGGGCGTGCTCTCTGCCCGGGGGCGGAGCCGGGGGCGTGGGCCCTGCCCGGGGAAGGAGCCGGGGGCGTGGGCCCTGCCCGGGGGCGGAGCCGGGGGCGTGGGCCCTGCCCGGGCGAGGAGCCGGGGGCGTGGGCCCTGCCCGGGCGAGGAGCCGGGGGCGTGGTCTCTGCCCGGGGGCGGAGCCGGGGGCGTGGTCTCTGCCCGGGGGCGTGGTCTCTGCCCGGGGGAGGAGCCGGGGGCGTGGTCTCTGCCCGGGGGAGGAGCCGGGGGCGTGGGCCCTGCCCGGGGGCGGAGCCGGGGGCGTGGTCTCTGCCCGGGGGCGGGGCCCGGGCCGCACCCAGTGCGGGCCATGCGGGAGAGCGGGCTCGAGCTGGGCACTGGCGAGGACCCCCAGCCCTGCTCCTCGGGGTGCGGGGATCCCGCACTCGGCCCCCCAGCCCCCGACGCCTGCACTGCGCAGCCGCCCCCGCGCTCACAAGGGCTCCCCGATCTCGGACCGAAATCCGCCCGCTGCAGGCGCGGCCCGATCCCGCGCCTCTTCCCGACCGCCGGCACCGCCCGGGCGGCTGGGCTGAGCCCCGGCTGAGCCCCCCCTTCCCAGCCCTGAGCGCCTGCAGCGTTCCGGCCCTTGCCCAGGGGCGGGCTGCTGCCGCTCTGAGCCTCTGCTCTCCCCTGGGCTCCCTGCCGCTCTCCGACCCTTCCCAGTGCGCGGCCGGCCAGCGCGGCCCCCGGGCCCCGCTCCTGGGCAGACGCCCCGGAATGGTCGCGCGTGTTTGGCCGCCGGGTGACCTTGTCGGGCCAGCGCTGCAGGGTGGCGTGCTGCCGCCGGCGGGGACACCCGCACCCCAGGGCGCAGGCCGAGGGAGCGGCTCGCCCGTCGGCGACGGTCTCCAGGGTCTCGCCCACCCCCCAGCGCCGCCCGGACTGCGCCCACAGGGAGGCACAGGGCTGCAGAGAAAGGCGACTCCCACCCTGTCCCGTGGGCTGTGTTCACACCTACTCCGGTGTGTCCCGCGGCAGGCGCCTGCCGCCCAGACCGCTGCCTTGGTCCGGAAGCGGCCCCAGGGACGCCCCGGGGTCTCGCGGCTGCGGACTGACAGGGCCGCCGGAGGCCTGCTCGCTATTCCCCGCCCCGCCCGCGGGCTGCTCGCTATTGCCCCTGGCTGCTCGCTATTGCCCCGCACCGCCCCGCCCGCGGCCTGCTCGCTATTGCCCCTGGCTGCTCGCTATTGCCCCGCCCCGCCCGCGGCCTGCTCGCTATTGCCCCTGGCTGCTCGCTATTGCCCCGCCCCGCCCGCGGCCTGCTCGCTATTGCCCCTGGCTGCTCGCTATTCCCCGCCCCGCCCGCGGCCTGCTCGCTATTGCCCCGGGCTGCTCGCTATTGCCCCGCCCCGCCCGCGGGCTGCTCGCTATTGCCCCACCCTGCCCGCAGCCTGCTCGCTATTGCCCCGGGCTGCTCGCTATTGCCCCGGCCCGCCCACGGGCTGCTCGCTGCTGCCCCGCCCTGTCCGTGGGCTGCTCGCTATTGCCCCTGGCTGCTCGCTATTGCCCCGCACCGCCCCGCCCGCGGCCTGCTCGCTATTGCCCCGCCCCGCCCGCGGGCTGCTCGCTATTGCCCCTGGCTGCTCGCTATTGCCCCGCCCCGCCCGCGGCCTGCTCGCTATTGCCCCTGGCTGCTCGCTATTGCCCCGCCCCGCCCGCGGCCTGCTCGCTATTGCCCCTCGCTGCTCGCTATTGCCCCGCCCCGCCCGCGGCCTGCTCGCTATTGCCCCTGGCTGCTCGCTATTGCCCCGCACCGCCCCGCCCGCGGCCTGCTCGCTATTGCCCCTCGCTGCTCGCTATTGCCCCGCCCCGCCCGCGGCCTGCTCGCTATTCCCCGCCCCGCCCGCGGCCTGCTCGCTATTGCCCCTGGCTGCTCGCTATTGCCCCGCCCCGCCCGCGGCCTGCTCGCTATTGCCCCTGGCTGCTCACTATTCCCCGCCCCGCCCGCGGCCTGCTCGCTATTGCCCCTGACTGCTCACTATTCCCCGCCCCGCCCGCGGCCTGCTCGCTATTGCCCCAGGCTGCTCGCTATTGCCCCGCCCCGCCCGCGGGCTGCTCGCTATTGCCCCACCCTGCCCGCAGCCTGCTCGCTATTGCCCCGGGCTGCTCGCTATTGCCCCGGCCCGCCCACGGGCTGCTCGCTGCTGCCCCGCCCTGTCCGTGGGCTGCTCGCTCTTGCCCAGGGCTGCTTGCTATTGCCCCGCCCCGCCCGTGGGCTGCTCGCTATTGCCCCGCCCTGCCCGCGGGCTGCTCGCTATTGCCCTGGACTGCTTACTATTGCCCCGCCCCGCTGGCGGGCTGCTCGCTATTGCCCCGGGCTGCTTGCTATTGCCCCGCCCCGCCCGCAGCCTGCTCGCTATTGCCCCGGGCTGCTCGCTATTGCCCCGCCCCGCCCGTGGGCTGCTCGCTATTGCCCCACGACGCCCGCAGCCTGCTCGCTATTGCCTTGGGCTGCTCGCTATTGCCCCGCCCTGCCCGCGGGCTGCTCGCTATTGCCCCGCCCCGCCCGCGGGCTGCTTTCTGTTGCCCCGGGCGCTCACTATTGCCCCGGGTTGCTCGCTATTGCTCCGCCCCGCCCCCGCGCTGCTTGCTGTTGCCCCGGGCGCTCACTATTGCCCCGCCCCCGGGCTGCTCGCTGTTCTCCCGGGCTGCTCGCTATTGCCCCGGCCCGCCCGCGGGCTGCTCGCTATTGCCCCGCCCCGCCCACAGCCTGCTCGCTCTTGCCCTGGGCTGCTTGCTATTGCCCCGCCCCGCCCGCGGGCTGCTCGCTCTTGCCCCGGCCCGGCCGCGCTGGGGCGCAGCTCGGCGGCTCCCGGGCGGTCCCGGTCCCCTCTGGGTCGATGGAAGGGGGGGGCTGCCCGGGGGCGGGGGGGCCGCCCGGGGGCGGGGGGCCGATCTGTGCGGGCATTTCCGTCTCTCCAGCCCCCGCCCGGCACCGCGCACGCGCTAAATGGCGGCGCCCCGATTCCTTCTCTGCGCGGGGGGGGGGCCCCGCGCGGCCTGCAGCGCCCGGGCCTGGTGAGGGGGGCGGGGGGAGGTTGTGGGGAGGGGGGCTGTGCGGGGAGTGGGGGGGCCGGGGGGAAGGGAAGGGGGCTGTGAGGGGAGCGGGGGTTGTGGGGGGGGGGGGGCTGTGAGCGGGGGGATCTGCGGAGGGGAGCAGGGGGGCTGTGGGGGACTGTGAGGGGAGCAGGGGGGTTGTGTGTGGGGCTGTTCAGGGGAGCGGGGGCCGGGGGGAAGGGGGCTGTGAGGGGAGCGGGGGGGGGTGTGGGGGGGAAGGGGCTGTGAGGGGAGCGGGGGCTCTGCGGAGGGGAGGGGGCTGTGAGGGGAGCGGGGGTTTGTGTGGGGGCTGTAAGGGGAGCTGGTGGGGCTTTGTGGAGGGGAGCAGGGGGGCTGTGGGGTGCTGTGAGGGGAGCAGGGGGGTTGTGTGTGGGGCTGTTCAGGGAGCGGGGGACCGGGGGGAAGGGGCTGTGAGGGGAGTGGGGGTTGTGGGGGGAGGGGGGCTGTGAGCGGGGGGATCTGCGGAGGGGAGCAGGGGGTTGTGGGGGGGGGCTGTAAGGGGAGCGTGGGGGGTTGTGTGTGGGGCTTTGTGGAGGGGAGGGGGGCTGTGGGGTGCTGTGAGGGGAGCAGGGGGGTTGTGTGTGGGGCTGTTCAGGGGAGCGGGGGCCGGGGGAAGGGGGCTGTGAGGGGAGCGGGGGGGGTTGTGTGGGGGGAAGGGGCTGTGAGGGGAGCGGGGGGGTTGTGTGGGGGGGAAGGGGCTGTGAGGGGAGCGTGGGGGGTTGTGTGTGGGGCTTTGTGGAGGGGAGGGGGGCTGTGAGGGGAGCAGGGGGGTTGTGTGTGGGGCTGTTCAGGGGAGCGGGGGCCGGGGGGAAGGGGGCTGTGAGGGGAGCGGGGGGGGGTTGTGTGTGGGGGAAGGGGCTGTGAGGGGAGCGGGGGTTGTGGGGGGGAAGGGGCTGTGAGGGGAGCGTGGGGGGTTGTGTGTGGGGCTTTGTGGAGGGGAGGGGGGCTGTGAGGGGAGCAGGGGGGCTGTGGGGGGCTGTGAGGGGAGCAGGGGGTTGTGTGTGGGGCTGTTCAGGGGAGCGGGGGGCCGGGGGAAGGGGGCTGTGAGGGGAGCAGTGGGGGTTGTGTGGGGGGGAAGGGGCTGTGAGGGGAGCGGGGGCTCTGCGGAGGGGAGCAGGGGGTTGTGGGGGGCTGTGTGGAGGGGAGGGGGGCTGTGAGGGGAGGGGGGGGCTGTAAGGGGAGCGGGGGGGTTGTGTGTGGGGCTTTGTGGAGGGGAGGGGGGCTGTGGGGGGCTGTGAGGGGAGCAGGGGGGTTGTGTGTGGGGCTGTTCAGGGGAGCGGGGGGCCGGGGGAAGGGGCTGTGAGGGGAGCGGGGGGGTTGTGGGGGGAGGGGGCTGTGAGCGGGGGATCTGCGGAGGGGAGCAGGGGGTTGTGGGGGGGGCTGTAAGGGGAGCGTGGGGGGTTGTGTGTGGGGCTTTGTGGAGGGGAGCAGGGGGGCTGTGGGGTGCTGTGAGGGGAGCAGGGGGGTTGTGTGGGGGGGAAGGGGCTGTGAGGGGAGCGGGGGGCTCTGCGGAGGGGAGCAGGGGGTTGTGGGGGGCTGTGTGGAGGGGAGGGGGGCTGTGAGGGGAGGGGGGCTGTAAGGGGAGCGTGGGGGGTTGTGTGTGGGGCTTTGTGGAGGGGAGGGGGCTGTGGGGTGCTGTGAGGGGAGCAGGGGGGTTGTGTGTGGGGCTGTTCAGGGGAGCGGGGGGCGGGGGAAGGGGGCTGTGAGGGGAGCAGTGGGGGTTGTGTGGGGGGGAAGGGGCTGTGAGGGGAGCGGGGGGCTCTGCGGAGGGGAGCAGGGGGTTGTGGGGGGCTGTGTGGAGGGGAGGGGGGCTGTGAGGGGAGGGGGGCTGTAAGGGGAGCGTGGGGGGTTGTGTGTGGGGCTTTGTGGAGGGGAGCAGAGGGGCTGTGGGGGGCTGTGAGGGGAGCAGGGGGGCTGTGAGGGGAGCAGGGGGGTTGTGTGTGTGGGGCTGTTCAGGGGAGCGGGGGACCGGGGGGAAGGGGCTGTGAGGGGAGCGGGGGTTGTGGGGGGGGAGGGGGCTGTGAAAGGGGGGCTCTGGAGGGGAGCAGGGGGTTGTGGGGGGGGGGGCTGTAAGGGGAGCGTGGGGGGTTGTGTGTGGGGCTTTGTGGAGGGGAGGGGGGGCTGTGGGGGGCTGTGAGGGGAGCAGGGGGGTTGTGTGTGGGGCTGTTCAGGGGAGCGGGGGGCCGGGGGGAAGGGGGCTGTGAGGGGAGCAGTGGGGGTTGTGTGGGGGGGAAGGGGCTGTGAGGGGAGCGGGGGCTCTGCGGAGGGGAGCAGGGGGTTGTGGGGGGCTGTGTGGAGGGGAGGGGGCTGTGAGGGGAGGGGGGGCTGTAAGGGGAGCGTGGGGGGTTGTGTGTGGGGCTTTGTGGAGGGGAGGGGGGCTGTGGGGGGCTGTGAGGGGAGCAGGGGGGTTGTGTGTGGGGCTGTTCAGGGGAGCGGGGGGCCGGGGGGAAGGGGGCTGTGAGGGGAGCGGGGGGGGGTTGTGTGGGGGGAAGGGGCTGTGAGGGGAGCGGGGGGCTCTGCGGAGGGGAGGGGGGCTGTGAGGGGAGCGGGGGGATCTGCGGAGGGGAGCAGGGGGTTGTGGGGGGCTGTGTGGAGGGGAGGGGGGCTGTGAGGGGAGCAGGGGGGTTGTGTGTGTGGGGCTGTTCAGGGGAGCGGGGGACCGGGGGGAAGGGGCTGTGAGGGGAGCGGGGGTTGTGGGGGGAGGGGGCTGTGAGCGGGGGGCTCTGCGGAGGGGAGCAGGGGGTTGTGGGGGGGGGCTGTAAGGGGAGCAGGGGGGTTGTGTGTGGGGCTGTTCAGGGGAGCGGGGGGCCGGGGGAAGGGGGCTGTGAGGGGAGCGGGGGGGGTTGTGTGGGGGGAAGGGGCTGTGAGGGGAGCGTGGGGGGTTGTGTGTGGGGCTTTGTGGAGGGGAGGGGGGCTGTGGGGGGCTGTGAGGGGAGCAGGGGGGTTGTGTGTGGGGCTGTTCAGGGGAGCGGGGGGCCGGGGGAAGGGGGCTGTGAGGGGAGCGGGGGGGGGTTGTGTGGGGGGAAGGGGCTGTGAGGGGAGCGGGGGGCTCTGCGGAGGGGAGGGGGGCTGTGAGGGGAGCGGGGGGATCTGCGGAGGGGAGCAGGGGGTTGTGGGGGGCTGTGTGGAGGGGAGGGGGGCTGTGAGGGGAGGGGGGCTGTAAGGGGAGCATGGGGGGTTGTGTGTGGGGCTTTGTGGAGGGGGAGGGGGCTGTGGGGTGCTGTGAGGGGAGCAGGGGGGTTGTGTGTGGGGCTGTTCAGGGGAGCGGGGGGCCGGGGGAAGGGGGCTGTGAGGGGAGCGGGGGGGTTGTGTGGGGGGAAGGGGCTGTGAGGGGAGCGGGGGCTCTGCGGAGGGGAGGGGGGCTGTGAGGGGAGCGGGGGGCTCTGCGGAGGGGAGCAGGGGGTTGTGGGGGGCTGTGTGGAGGGGAGGGGGGCTGTGAGGGGAGGGGGGGCTGTAAGGGGAGCGTGGGGGGTTGTGTGTGGGGCTTTGTGGAGGGGAGGGGGGCTGTGGGGGGCTGTGAGGGGAGCAGGGGGGTTGTGTGTGGGGCTGTTCAGGGGAGCGGGGGCCGGGGGAAGGGGGCTGTGAGGGGAGCGGGGGGGTTGTGTGGGGGGGGAAGGGGCTGTGAGGGGAGCGGGGGCTCTGCGGGAGGGGAGGGGGCTGTGAGGGGAGCGGGGGGATCTGCGGAGGGGAGCAGGGGGTTGTGGGGGGCTGTGTGGAGGGGAGGGGGGCTGTGAGGGGAGCAGGGGGGTTGTGTGTGTGGGGCTGTTCAGGGGAGCGGGGGACCGGGGGAAGGGGCTGTGAGGGGAGCGGGGGTTGTGGGGGGAGGGGGCTGTGAGCGGGGGGCTCTGCGGAGGGGAGCAGGGGGTTGTGGGGGGGCTGTAAGGGGAGCGTGGGGGGTTGTGTGTGGGGCTTTGTGGAGGGGAGGGGGGCTGTGGGGGGCTGTGAGGGGAGCAGGGGGGTTGTGTGTGGGGCTGTTCAGGGGAGCGGGGGGCCGGGGGAAGGGGGCTGTGAGGGGAGCGGGGGGGTTGTGTGGGGGGAAGGGGCTGTGAGGGGAGCGTGGGGGGTTGTGTGTGGGGCTTTGTGGAGGGGAGGGGGCTGTGGGGGGCTGTGAGGGGAGCAGGGGGGTTGTGTGTGGGGCTGTTCAGGGGAGCGGGGGCCGGGGGAAGGGGGCTGTGAGGGGAGCGGGGGGGGGGTTGTGTGGGGGGGAAGGGGCTGTGAGGGGAGCGGGGGCTCTGCGGAGGGGGAGGGGGCTGTGAGGGGAGCGGGGGATCTGCGGAGGGGAGCAGGGGGTTGTGGGGGGCTGTGTGGAGGGGAGGGGGCTGTGAGGGGAGGGGGGCTGTAAGGGGAGCATGGGGGGTTGTGTGTGGGGCTTTGTGGAGGGGAGGGGGCTGTGGGGTGCTGTGAGGGGAGCAGGGGGGTTGTGTGTGGGGCTGTTCAGGGGAGCGGGGGCCGGGGGGAAGGGGGCTGTGAGGGGAGCGGGGGGGTTGTGTGGGGGGAAGGGGCTGTGAGGGGAGCGGGGGCTCTGCGGAGGGGAGGGGGCTGTGAGGGGAGCGGGGGGATCTGCGGAGGGGAGCAGGGGGTTGTGGGGGGCTGTGTGGAGGGGGAGGGGGGCTGTGAGGGGAGGGGGGGCTGTAAGGGGAGCGTGGGGGGTTGTGTGTGGGGCTTTGTGGAGGGGAGGGGGCTGTGAGGGGAGCAGGGGGGTTGTGTGGGGGGCTGTTCAGGGAGCGGGGGGCCGGGGGAAGGGGGCTGTGAGGGGAGCGGGGGGGTTGTGTGGGGGGGAAGGGGCTGTGAGGGGAGCGGGGGGCTCTGCGGAGGGGAGGGGGGCTGTGAGGGGAGCGGGGGGTTTGTGTGTGGGGCTGTTCAGGGGAGCGGGGGGCCGGGGGGAAGGGGGCTGTGAGGGGAGCGGGGGGGGGTTGTGTGGGGGGGAAGGGGCTGTGAGGGGAGCGGGGGGCCGGGGGGAAGGGAAGGGGGGGTTCCCGTCTCCACCCCAGCAGGCCGGGCTCACTGGTTCTGCTGCTTGGTCCCAGCTCCCCTCGCTCTTCCTTCCCCCAGGTACCAGCAGCCCCTGAGGCCGGGGGGCCCTGGGAGGCAGGCGGCCGGTGGCCCGGGCAGAGGCAGCATCGTGGGGCAAGCCGGGGGGCCGTGGAGCCGGCAGGAGGCGCTGGGGCTGCTGGAGGCAGCGGTTGTGTACCGGGAAGGTACTGGGGTGGCACTAGGGGTCGGCGCTGGGCGTGGGGGGGTGTGGTGTGGAGGGGGGGCGGCGCTGGGCGTGGGGGGGCGGCGGCGGCCAGGGAGATGGGGCAGCAGAGCAGCCCTGCTGAGGCCTGGGCGGGAGGGCGCTGGCTGGCTGCGCAGCAGGGTGTGGCCACGGGCAGGGGGTCTGGCCGTGGGTCTGGGCTGGCTTTCGTCCCAGAAGAGGGGGTCTGGGACGCTGGGGAGGGCTGGTCGGCCTTCCCTGACCTCGCCTGTTCCTTTGTTTCAGGGCCACTGGTGGCCATCAGCAAGCCCCCGGGCCTGGCTGTGACCGGTGAGTGCTTGCGGTCCACGTCTCCCACATGCGCCGGGCACTGCAAGGCCGCCCAGAGGAAGGGGCTCATCCCTCCACTCCCGGCCTGCGGGGGAGCAGGGGGTACAGGGGGTGTTCCCCTGGCCACCCACAGGAGTGACACTTGGGGCGGGGGGTCAGGCCGGCTCTCCAGGCTCATGGCTCCTTCTCTGTACTCCCCTCCCAGGCAGTCCAGGGCAGCTGAGTGTGATTTCGCTGCTCCCAGATCTGAGCCAGAGGCTGAGCCTTCCCCATGAGCTCCACGTGGTCAAAGCAGCCGGGAAGTAAGTGACTGGGGAAAGGCCAGGGATTGGCTGCCCACGGAGAGGAGGAATGGGTGGTTGGTTGCTTGGATGGGGCAGGAGAGGGAGGGAAGGAAGCTGGCTGGTTTGCCGGGGGGAATCGGAGGGCAGGGTTCTGGTTGGCATGGGTAGGGGAGGGAAGGGTGCTGGGCAGGGAAGGACTCTGGCGGGGGTAGGGCAGGGGAGGGTGCTGGGGGGTGGGGAGGGTGCAAAGAGGCAGGCAGGAGAGGGAGGGGTTGGCCCTGGGGGGCGGGGAGAGGAGGGCGTGGCACTGGGGAGCAGGGGGATGCCTCTCCGTAGCTCAGCGCTGTGTTCCCATCTCCGGCACTGGCTCCGTGCCATGGGACTGAATCTGACGCCGTCCTCCAGGGACAGCTCTGGCCTCGTGCTTCTCTCCGGCTGCCCTGGCACCACGCGGCAGCTCCATGCATTCTTCACGCAGCTCCGGAGAGCAGGGCGCCCCCCCGCCACTTACCGGTGAGTGAGACCCCACCCCTCCCACTTACCGGGGAGCGGGCTCCATCCTGCAGAGTGCTCCGGCCCTGGCTGGCGAGTGGAGCGTCCCTCTCCCGCAGCAGGGCGCGTGGCCGTGCGCCGGAGACTGCTCTGTCCTGCAGCCCCAGGGCGCTGACTCGTCTCGCTCGTCTCCCGTTCTCTGCCCCGCTCCCACCCCAGCCCATTGTGAGCCCCAGAGCCCAGAGAGTACGGCCACCCTGTAACCCCCTCTCCTTCCCCCCAGTGCTGTCACAGCCGGGGTCCCAGCTGCCGTGGAGGGGGAAATCCACACAGGATTGAAGCTGGAGCAGGTTGGGGACCTGCAGCTGGTAAGGAAAGGGTGAACTGGGCTGTGTGTTCTGGGGGGCTGCGGAGCTCTGTGGGGGCAGGCTGTGTCCTGGGGGCAAAGGGCTACGGGGCCCCAGGGTGGGGATGGCTGCAGGGCCTGGCCCGTCCCTCCGGCTCCAGCCTTCCCTTGAGCGTGTGGCTCTGCTCTGGTTGCAGGTGGTGCCGGTGGCTGGCCCGTCCCGCCGCAGCGTGGAGAGGAAGGAGGTGAAGCAAACCCTGACCCACTACAGGGTGCTGGGCACGGCTCCGGGCTGCAGCCTGGTGCAGCTCCAGCCCATGACAGGTGGGGAATGGGCCCCGTGAGGGAGCCCCGTGAGGGAGCCCCGTCTTCAGCTCTTCCTGACAACCCTGCCCAGCGGCGCCCCAGATTGGGGGGTGAGGGGCTGAACTGGGAGGTCTCCTGCCATCCTTGTCAGGGAGGGGCTCTGGGCAGGAGGGGCTGAGGGTGCGTTTGCTGCCCGTGGGTGGGGGCGCGGTACCCATATTAACCCCCACTCTCCTCGCCACAGCCTTTCCCAGCCAGCTCCTGGTGCACCTGACGCTGCTGCTGTGTCCTGCGCTGGGCGACCACGTGTACTCTGCCCGTGTGGGCAGAGTCCTGGGGGAGCCCTTCCTGCTGCCTGCGGGGAGCGCTGTGCCCCACACACAGGTACCGGGCTCTGCCCCGCCCCGCCCCGGGCACCCCTTTGCTGGTTGCACACCACGGTCCCACGGCTTGGGCTGGAGCTGTGGCTTGGTCTCAGGGAGGCCCGTCATTGCTGAGCTCTGCATGCAAAGCCCCCCGGTCAGCCCAGCATGCAGAGCACTTTGCCTGGCCTGCCATGAAGGGGGCCAGGGCTGGGATAGCAGTGGGCTGTGGGTCAGGAGTGAGGGGTACCTTGGAGTGAGTGAACAAAGGACTTTCCGGACTGGCTGAGACCTGGGGGTCACCTGGCCCAGCGTCCAGACCAGATGCTGCGAAGGAAGGGGTACGACCTGCCTCCTCCTGGTTTCTGGGAGCTGGTTGAATATCCCTTCTTTGCTGCCTATCGTCCAGTCCTTCTTGGTGTCCTCGGGGCCATCCTGTGTCAGTGACTTCCACAGAAGACTTATGCATTGTGTGACAGAGTTTCCATTTGTCAGTTTAGAACTTCATTGAGAGTCCCTGTGTTAGTAGCTGGGCGTGTCCAATCAACCTGTCTTCCTTCTCCAGACCCCTCTTACTCACCTCAGTCCGCACTAGCAATGCCAGTCTTCAGTCACTCTTCAGAGGAGGGTTTTCAGCCTCCGATCCTGCAGCCTCTGCCCTGTGTCGTGTGGGATGGGCTGAGGATCCCACTCGGGCGGCCGCTGATTGTACAAAGCAATGTCCTCTCCCCACTTCTGTGGGCTGCTAGCTGGCAGAGCTGGGGCCTGGCCCTGCTCACTTCCTTTGAGTGCCACGTTCAGTCGCTGTTGGGGATCGCTGCCGTGCCGGGGGGGACGACTCGGGGGCTCAGGAGCGAAGAGCCCTCATTTCTCTCTCTCTCTCGGCAGGTCCTGGGCGAGCAGCTGCTCCGCAGGCTGCGCCTCACTCAGGAGCTGCTGCATCGCCTGCCACTGCATCTCCACCTGTACCAGCTGCTCCTCCCGACAGCTAGTCTCACCGCGCCGCCCCCACCCTTCTTCCTCCAGACGCTCCGTCTGCTGGGACTCCCTGGGAGCCAGAGTGTGCCGTGATGGGGCGCGCCCTGGCCCAAATGGCCACTGAACAAGAGGCGGGCCCAGCTCTGTGGGGGAGAGGGCGTTTCCCAACCGGGAAAGGAGCAGAACTCACCCCGGGGATGCTGCTAGGCTCGGGTCTCCTCTGCATCCCCGCCGGTGGGACTCCCCGCAGGGATGGTCTCTTGGAAGGCCGAATAGCCGTGAACATGCACCCTTCCCCCTCTTCCTGGAAGGCTCTGTGCAGGACGCTGCTCCGGACTCCTCCCTCTCGGTGGGGGGGCGCAGCAGGACAGCCCCCCGGTGCCCCAGCTAGTCTGTGCGCTGGGCTCTGTGCCACCAACAGGCTGGTTCTCGGGTTTAGCCGCTCTGATCTTTATATGACCAAACAGTGGCGTGCTGGCAGGGGTGTGGGGGGCACTGATCCTTCTGCCTCTCGGGACCTTTCCTGCTTTTCTCCTGGTTACCATATCCCAGACTTGCCAAACGGTGGGTTGGGGTCTTGTCTCGTAGCTCCCTCTGGCTCTGTCAGCCACACCTGTGCAGGGGCCTTTGGCCTCCCTGGCCCACCCCCCGTCCCACTCTGTCTCCTTGCTGAGCTGCCTGTGTCATGGGTGATCAGGGTCGGGTGCTCCCCAGCGGCTGGGATTGGCAGCCCCTCCTTGGAGGAAGGACCCTCACGGCTGCCCCCCATCTGCAACTCACACCAAACCAGTGTGTCCCCAGCCACGCCCCTGCGGTTCCCTGCTGCTAGGGGGGCTGGGCTTACTAGTCAGCTGGCTGAGCAGAGCGGTGCCTCTGGGGCGCTCCCTGCAGCGAGCTTGGGGCTGGCCCGGCTGGGTACGGGCACAGCATAGCCCATCTCCCGCTGGCGCTCCACGCAGCGACAGCACCTCACCCCACGCTCTGCGGAGGGGTGTCTTCGAGCAGCTTTAACGCCCTGCGTGTGTCGGCAACAGCTCCTGGGTGGGCGGGGCGACAGCCCGGAGGGAAGGCTCTCTGAGGTGCAGGCCCCCATCAGCCCCAGACCAGCAGGTTTCACAGGGGGAGATGGCAGCAGTGAGCATGTCCCAGAAGCCCTTGCACTGGCTGCCACTAGAAATAAGCTGTTGCAAGGAGCTGCCAGCCTGCGAAGGAGTCGTGAGCAGTCGCAGTTAATTTCCCCCTGCTTATGTGTGAGGCTGTCCTGTGGGGCAGGGGTGGGGGGGTGCAGCAGTAACCCCTCCCAGGCCCACTTCAGCTCAACCTGCAGGGGAGCAGGGCCCAGCTTCCAGGTGAACCCTGACGGGCTGCTGGAGGCCATGGCCCTGCAGGCCTCTTCCTGGCCAGAGAGCAGAAGCCACTTGGAGAGGCAGCTTCTCTGGCCCTGCCTGTGAGCATGGCCTTCAAGGGCTTCTCCCAAGAGGGCAGACCCCCTTGTGCCATGTTCATGGCCACAGTGTCCTGCTGCTGGAGGCATTAGAGCAACAGGGCCAGTACATTAGAACTAGGGTATTTTCTGTGTTTTAAACGTGTACATGCCTAGACTGCATCCAAACCACGGCCAATCCTCCCAGGCAAGGGCAAATGCAGCTGTCGGGGGGCTCTGGTTTTCTGGTGTATGCACTCCCAGTGTACCTCCTGGGGAGATTTGGGGGAATCCATGTACAAAACATGATCATTGGACAGCTCTGTGTAGGTGGAGTTTGCCCTTGGCTGTCAGGGTGCCCCTTCCAGCCCAGGGAGAAGGGGGGCAGTGGTACTCCCAGGGACGGCTCTGCTAGAACAACAGGTACGCTAAGGAGGGTGTCTGCGCTGGGAACAGTCTGCAAGGAGTGGCTTGGAGCAGTTGAATATCCTCAGAAGCAGCTGAGGAGCCAGGTGTTGGAGGTGGGGTTTATAAACACTGAGGGGCTCGCAGGCAGGGCTGCCTGTTCTGGTTACATGTATTCATCACATGACAGAATCTTTAATTAAAGCTTCATCTTTAATTCTTGGAGATTCCAGGCCCATGCTGGAGGGTTGGGAACCCTGCTTCCAGAGTAGGGCCAAAGGGACATGGGGGTAGCATAGGGCCATTTCTGCCTGTAGGCCCAGCCGGTGGAGAGTGGCACTCCCATGATTCACAGTAGGCATGAGCTGCAGGGGGAGATCTTGGCCATTCAGAAGGGTGAGGAACTGAGGCAGGGGGCTCTGTGCAGGAATTTATTTTGTCTGGCTGTAACTAAGAGTGACCGGTTTAGAACCCTTGTCTGGCTGCTTTCACGAGGAGTGCCCCAGAAGAGGTCAGCTGCATCCCAGAGTGCCCACTGGGCAGTCTGGGGGCTCAGCCCTGGTCTGGGGGCCTCGGGTAGCTGGGCCGTGGGGTAACAGGCAGAGTCTGTGCCAGTGAAGTCAGGGTGCTGCACCCCACTGAGACAAAGGGAAGCTGAATGCACAGGGTCTGGCAGGATGGCCCCCCAGAGCAGCCTTGGGTGTGCTCAGGTTGTGTGAGACGGTCCCCTGCTCTGTGTCCCCCACCCTGCTGCGGTGCTGTGAAACCATCCAATCCAGCACTGGGGCGGAGAGCCCAGCCCACAGCTGGTCCCAATGCAGTGAAAACAAGGGTTTGCCCATTGGGATGGGGGGCAGGCCCTGCCTTCCGTAGGGGGCAGCTTGTGGTGAAGGGATCAGGGGGCAGGTCCTGGCCTGTCTGCACTGTCGTCCGCCGCCCCCCCCCCCCAACAGTGCCAAGGCTGGCTGCTTGCAGGGGCACTGGAGCAATGTGTACGGGGGGACTGAGCCATGGAGCCAAACTGCAAACCCTGGATATGATGGAAACCACGTCAAACCCCTGCACTCCTAGTTCCAGACCCTCTGGCCACTTGTGGCCTGTGGTCTCAGGGCATGACCAGGAGCTGATCCTACCCTCATCCTGCTTCTCAGTCTCGGCCCTGGGCGCTGCAGCCAAAGCACCAGCTGCTGTGACCATTCTCTGCCCTGCTCTGCCGCCTGCCCCAGCTGATGCCTTTCCCCCTCTCCGCTTTCTGGGTGGGGTCCCTGGTCCCTTGCGGGCTCCTCTGCCTTTGCCCGCAGTGCCAGGTGTCCTCAGATGTGTGCCCAGCCCCCTACAGGTTGGCTTCACTGGCGGAGTCCAGCAGAATGGGGCAACCCACTGCATCCCTTGCTGCTGTGGGGCCCCAGCTGAGGCCAGTCCATCAGGAGGGTGGCTGCAGGCACGGGCAGGCAAGCAGGGCCGAGGGCCGTGCCCCAAGCACTCAGGGGCTCGCTGCTGGAGGTGGCTGCCTTGCTGCCAGGGTGGGGCCAGCTGCTGAGCAGGTGCAAACCAGCCTATGGGTTTCCAGCAGGGCAGCAGAGGCCTGGGAGCCTGCCTGTCTCTGCGGGGCCTGGGAAGGAAAGAGAAATAGGCAGGGGCAAGGCCCAATCTGGGGAGCACTGGCTGGGTCTGGTCTGTCCCTCACCAGGGCATGGCCCCATTCAGCTGGGCCACAGGCCTCGCTCACTACCCTACGCCCCCTGAAGCCTGCTGCCTCAGGGCCTCTTCACGGCCTCTGCCAGGGTGGTGGCCAGCTCCATGCCCCCCTTAACCCCCCCCCCAGGGTGGTGCCCAGCTCCTTTCCCCTCACCACCCCCCAAGGGCAGTAGCCACCTTCCCCCCCCAGTGGTGCCCAGCTCCATGCCATACCCTGGCTCAGGGTGGTGCCCAGTTCTGCCCCCACCCCCCAGCACAGGGCAGCACCCAACCCACTCCCCCCCGCCCCCCCCCAGTTTCCATTTCAGCTGCGGAGCTGGGCAGGTGTGGGAAGGAGAGACAGGCCAGCGGAGCCAAGCAGCAACCCTGTGTGCCAAAGGTGAGGGGAACGGGGGGCTGCCCCTTGGGCTGGGGCTCATTTGAGATGTGGGACCTGCTCTGCCTGCAACCAGCCCCAGAGCCCCCTCCCCCAGGCCCTGGCCCTGCCAGCCGCCGCCTGGGTGAAGGCAGCCCCAGGTTGCGTTTCCTGCCCACATCACAAACTCCAGCTCCTTCTCTTGAGCCCTTTATTGGAGGGCACCAGCCCCTGGCATGACTCCCCTCGCTGCTGCCAGCAGCCCCAGGGGCAGCTCCCTCCATCACCTGCACATCCTGTCTCTCTTCTGCTTCCTTCTGCCCACGTCCGTGTGCAAGGCCCCGAGCTCAGGGGCAGAGGCTGGGTGCGGGGCCCAGCGCAGCCAGCCCCTGGCACACTGCTGGCCAGGCCCGGCAGGAGGGGCTGGGGGCCTCTCCCGCAGTGCAGCCTGGGCATGTCCCCACTGGTGCTCCGGCACACGGGGCTTCCCTGGAGAGCAAGCAAGGGAGTGAGTGGGGGTGGCAGCGTGCCCACAGGCCAGCTGGAAGGTGCGCAAGTCCCGCACGTGCAGCTGCAGCTCCCTACCTGGCTGCCGGGCCGGTCTCTGCAGCTGCCCCTTGTCCTTGCTGCACTGGAGGTGGAGCCGTGGGGGTGCCCTGGGGCTAGGGACCGCCACCTGGGAGCTGCACTTGAGACAGAGCCTGGGCTGGGGCAGCGGCACCAGCTTGTCCCCCAGTGGGGAAGTGGCCACGCTGTGCATCTCCAGCAGCCTCGTCTTGCCTGGCTGTGCTCGCAGCTTGCTGAGCAGCTTCCGCCGGGGGCCAGCTGCAGCACAGGCCCCGATGGCTGCCCCCTTCTCCCTGGCTCTGTTCTCCTTGCCGCTGACCGGTGCCGGGGGCCTGGCGGCCCTGGCGAGCTGTGGAGCCCTAGGCCCACGAGGGGAGCTCTGGGGGTGTGCTTGGGAGTGCTGCGGGCAGCTGGGCACGCTGGGGCCCGGCCTGGGGCTGGCACTGGGGGAGAGTCTGTGGTTTGGAGGCCGTGGCTTTTTGACAGTGGATCCTTCCACCAAAAGGCTTATTCCTATGTACTGGGGCACATCGACAGCCGCCTGCGGGAGAAGGCAGGAGAGTGCTCAGTGCAGAGCCCCGCAGCCCTGCCAGGTCCAGGAGTGCCCACAGGGGCTGCTGGGGCCTGGGCACGGGCGCCCTGCTGGGCTGGGCTGCTGCTTTTGGATTAGTTCAGGGCCCCTGGGTGGCCGTTAGGTGCTCTCCCACTCTGGGAAGGGACAGGGAAAGTCCCCAGTACCGGGCTGGCATGTGGCCACTGTGCAGGCAGTGACAAGCAGCGCACAGTCCCTGGGACGTTCTGAGAGGCCTCCAGGCAGGGCAAGGTCAGGCAACAGGGCTCACTCCCTGACACGGGTGGGTAGGACTTAAGGCTGGTCCCTGCAGCAGCACAGGACCCTCTAGTGCCCATGGGGCAGCACTGACCCCAAGGACAGAGGGCCCCCTACTGAGCCCCGCACCAGTCCCTGCTGGTGAGGGTGGGGGGGTAGCCCCACAGCCACATTGGGGCCAAGCCTGCCCCTGGCTGGGCCTATGCTTAGTGGGACTGCTGTCCCCGGCCTTGGGACTGGCCTCTCCCTGGGTGCTCTCTGTGCCCTCTCGCAGCTCAGCTGGTCCATGCAGAGTTGGGCTCCCTGTGGGCGTTGTCTGGGTCCCCTCCCAACTCAGCCGGTCCGTTTGGGGCTGGGCTACCCCTGGGCACAGTCCAGGCCCCCTCCCAGCTCAGCTATTCCGTTTGGGCTCCCCCTGGGTGCTCTCCAGGCCCTGTCCCAGTTCAGCTGGTCCATTTGGGGCTGGGCTCCCCCTGGGCACTGTCTGGGCCCCCTCCCAACTCAGCCGGTCTGTTTGGGACTGGGCTCCCCCAGGCGCTCTCCGGGTCCCCTCCCAGATCAGCTGGTCCATGCAGAGTTGGGCTCCCACTGGGTGCTCTCCAGGCCCCGTCCCAGCTCAGCTAGTCCGTGCAGGGCTGCTGGGGACTCACCTGCTTGTAGATGAGCTCGAAGGCCCCCGTGGGGCAGCTGCGGTCGTGCTTACGGTCAATGACCACGCGGAGCGTGTCCTCCTGCACGCTGGCACACAGCTGGCTGGTCACGGCCGTGGAGGCCGCCATGGTGGGGCTGGCATTGATCTCGATCAGCCAGGGCTGGCAATTCTCCCCGAACATGAAGTCTGCCCCGTACAGCTCGAAGCTGCTCTTGCGGAACTCCACCACATCCTGGGAGGTCTGCATGGCATGGATGATGGCTGCCTTCATGCCCGGGACGATCACCTCCTGCCAGGCACCCGCCGCCCCCACCTGCTGCAGATGGGCCTGGAACTGCTGTGATGACCACATGTTGTCAGGAGGAAGCTGGGGGTGGCGGCTCAGCGAGTTCTCGTAGTGCCTCTGGATGGAGTTATTGCACAGGTGGATGGAGCTGGGACCGAGAGAAAGGGGCTCAGTGCCCGCAGCTGCACATGGCCAGCCCACATTGCCCTCACCTGGGGCCTTGCACTCACGTGTCCAGGTTGTGCAGGGAGAAGGGCTGTGTGCAGAAGCGGAGGTAGCTGTCTCGGTAGAACCAGATGGTGAGCGGGTTCCAGTCCGTCACCAGGAACCACTGCCGCAGGTCGAACTTGGTGCCGTGGATGAGCAGGGGTCTCTCGATGTATTTCTGCACCACCCACTTGCCATCCTTCACGATCATGGGGTCGCAATCCACCAGCTTCAGCATCTCCTCCAGGCGGTCCATGCAGATGATTCCTGGGGGCGAGCCCAGCAACCCCATGACACACAGCATGTGGGGAGTGGGGCTGCCCCAGACTGCACACAGCTAGAGCAGCACACAGGCTGCAGTCAGGGCCAAACAGAGCCCAGAGCCTCCCGCAGTGAGTGAGAAGCCCCCACAGCAAAGCACAGGGCTGCCCCACTGGCTGTGCAGGCAGAGGGCAGGCTGGGGGATTGGTTTGGGGGAGGTCATACCCATTGCTTTGCCAGTGTCTCAGTGCCAGGCTCCCTTGCAGGTGGGATGGGGGTTTCTGGCTTCGGCCAGGCAGGCCCCAGCAGCTCCCCAAATGCAGCAGGGGAAGCGGGACCATCCCCACTCTCCATGGCGGCAGGACCAGGCCTTACCTCTGCCCCGTGACTTGGCTCCCGGCTTCACAATCCAGATATTGCGGTCCCCCTCCATCTCTAGCTGTGGGAGCACCTCGGCCAGGCGCTGCAGGAAGTGCTCGCACTCTTCGACATAGGAGACCAGCTGATCCAGGAGTGCCCCTTCGCTGCAGTCAGACAGCCCAGCTCAGAGCGGGGCAGGTGAGCTCCGCCTCCCTCCCCCGGGCACCGCCCCGCAGCACTTACTGAACCACCTGGTAGTAGGCGCGCAGGAAGTCCCCCCAGCATGCCCCTGTCATGCACAGAGGGGACTCGGGCTCCCTGTCGATATCCTGGTGCCTCAGGCTGCTCAGGTGCTCCTCGCAGGCCTGCAGGGCCGTTTCGATGAGCTGTGGTGGCAGGGGGCTGCCCTTCTTCCCGCCAGTCCCTCCTGGGGACTCTGCATGGGGGAGAGCGAGCCAGCTGGCAGGGCTCATGGCATTGCACAGAGGGTGCATCATGTGGGTAGGTGCTGCTGGCGAGCCCTGGGGCTCTAGGGAGCACAGAAGATTCCGGCTGGGGGTGTCTCCCTCCCGTGGGGTCTGCACCTACCTTCCCCATGCTCCAGCATGCCTAACCCTGCCCTCCTGTCTGTCTGGGCCACAGAGGCTGACAGCACAGCAGGGAGCCACCAGGTTTGGGGAGTGTCCCAAGTCGCCTACAGGGGCTGGGCTGGGCTCTGCCAGCATGGGGGCAGCGAGCTACCCTGGGGCCTGGCCCCCTCAGAACTCCCCCCAGTGCTCTCACAGCCCAGGCCCCCTACACAGCCTACTCCCTCGGCCGGGCCCTCGCAGCCCCACTCTCACGCAGGCGGAGGCCGTGCTCAGAGTCCTGGCAGCTCAGCTCGACCTAACTGTGCAGCTGCCCCAGGGAAGGCCACAGTCGCTGTGACAGATGCTCTCAGAGCGGGGAGGCCTAGGGGGACGTGTGCCGCTTTCAGTGCAGGGCGCCGATGGGGATGGTGGTGGGGGAGGATGTGGGGGGACTGGAGGCAGTAGAGGCGGTGGTGGTGGAAATGGTGGGGGGATGGCGGGGACTGGCGGCGGTGGGGGGATCGGTGGGGAGATGGGGGGGACCGACGGCAGTGGAGGCGGTGGGGGGATGGGTGGGGGGACGGCAGGGACCGGCGGCAGTGGAGGTGGTGGGGGGATGGGTGGGGGGACAGCAGGGACCGGCGGCAGTGGAGGTGGTGGGGGGATGGGTGGGGGGACAGCGGGGACCGGCGGCAGTGGAGGCGGTCGTGGTGGAGGCGGTGGGGGAATCGGTGGGGGCGGCAGGGACCGGTGGCAGTGGAGGCGGTCGTGGTGGAGGTGGTGGGGGGACGGCAGGGACTGGTGGCAGTGGAGGCGGTGGGGGGATCGGTGGGGAGATGGCAGGGACCAGCGGCACTGGAGGCAGTGGGGGGATTGGTGGGCGGACGGCAGGGACAGGCGGCAGTGGAGGCGGTGGGGGGATTGGTGGGGGAACGGCAGGGACTGGCGGCAGTGGAGGCGCTGGGGGGATGGGTGGGGGGACGGCAGGGACCGGCGGCAGTGGAGGTGGTGGGGGGATGGGTGAGGGGACAGCGGGGACCGGCGGCAGTGGAGGCGGTCGTGGTGGAGGTGGTGGGGGGAATCAGTGGGGGGCGGCAGGGACCGGTGGCAGTGGAGGCGGTCATGGTGGAGGCGGTGGGGGGATTGGTGGGGGGACGGCAGGGACTAGTGGCAGTGGAGGCGGTGGGGGGATGGGTGGGGGGACAGCGGGGACCGGCGGCAGTGGAGGCGGTCGTGGTGGAGGTGGTGGGGGAATCAGTGGGGGGCGGCAGGGACCGGTGGCAGTGGAGGTGGTCATGGTGGAGGCGGTGGGGGGATTGGTGGGGGGACGGCAGGGACTGGTGGCAGTGGAGGCGGTGGGGGGATCGGTGGGGAGATGGCAGGGACCAGCGGCACTGGAGGCAGTGGGGGGATTGGTGGGGGAACGGCAGGGACTGGCGGCAGTGGAGGCGCTGGGGGGATGGGTGGGGGGACAGCAGGGACCGGCGGCAGTGGAGGTGGTGGGGGGGATGGGTGGGGGGACAGCGGGGACTGGCGGCAGTGGAGGCGGTCGTGGTGGAGGCGGTGGGGGAATCGGTGGGGGGCGGCAGGGACCGGTGGCAGTGGAGGCGGTCGTGGTGGAGGCGGTGGGGGGACGGCAGGGACTGGTGGCAGTGGAGGCGGTGGGGGGATCGGTGGGGAGATGGCAGGGACCAGCGGCACTGGAGGCAGTGGGGGGATTGGTGGGCGGACGGCAGGGACAGGCGGCAGTGGAGGCGGTGGGGGGATTGGTGGGGGAACGGCAGGGACCGGCGGCAGTGGAGGTGGTGGGGGGATGGGTGGGGGGACAGCGGGGACCGGCAGCAGTGGAGGCGGTCGTGGTGGAGGTGGTGGGGGAATCAGTGGGGGGCGGCAGGGACCGGTGGCAGTGGAGGCGGTCATGGTGGAGGCGGTGGGGGGATTGGTGGGGGGACGGCAGGGACTGGTGGCAGTGGAGGCGGTGGGGGGATCGGTGGGGAGATGGCAGGGACCAGCGGCACTGGAGGCAGTGGGGGGATTGGTGGGGGGACGGCAGGGACAGGCGGCAGTGGAGGCGGTGGGGGGATTGGTGGGGGAACGGCAGGGAACGGCAGCAGTGGAGGCGGTGGGGGGATCGGTGGGGGGACGGCAGGGACCGGCGGCAGTGGAGGCAGTGGGGGGATCGGTGGAGAGATGGCAGGGACCGGCGGCAGTGGAGGCGGTGGGGGGATTGGTGGGGGAACGGCAGGGACCGGCAGCAGTGGAGGCGGTGGGGGGATCGGTGGGGGGACGGCAGGGACCGGCGGCAGTGGAGGCAGTGGGGGGATCGGTGGGGGGACGGCAGGGACCGGCGGCAGTGGAGGCGGTGGGGGGACGGCAGGGTGTAGCCCAGAGGAGAGGGAAGGAGCTGGGGCTGCCTCCCCAAAGGCTGGGCAGGGCTGTTGCCCTCTGCCGCAGAGAGTAAAGCAGGCGGGTTCAGCAGCGGGGCCGTGACCTGCTTGTCCCCCCGTGCACTCAGCTCTCCTGTCCAGCACCTACCTGTGGACTCGCCGGCCTTCACGGGTCCCTGTGCGCTGGAAGCCGCCGCCGCCCCAGCCCCCCAGGCAGGTGAGCTCCAGTACCTTTTCACCACCACTTTGAGGATGCTCCGGGCGGCGGTGAGCCAGAAATCCTCTGTAAGAGATGGCATCACCACCGCTGGTGGCCAGGCCCCAGAGCGAGGCAGGGCCATGGGGAGTGCTAAGATTGGGGGGGGGGGGGGGGGCTAAGTTGGGGGCAAAGGAGGCTGGATTTTCAGGGAGATGGCTCAATTTGCAGAATGGGCCCCTTGGGGCAGTGGGGAGCCCCTGACCCCTGGGGTCAGCTGGGAGCCCCCCCATCCCCGGACAGCCCTCTGCCTCCCCACAGTCAGCTGGGAGGCCCCCACATCACCCTGGACAGCCCTCTGCCTCTCTGGGGTCAGCTGGGAGCTGCCCCTCCGCGGAGCAATATGCCCCCCAGCACAGGGCAGCGCTCACCGATGAAGGCGTGCTTCTCATCCTTGGCACCCAGCCGGTAGCAGCGGGGGAAGAAGGTGTCGGCATCGGCCTGGTCGAACCAAGGCAGGTTCCGCAGGTTCAGACACAGCCCCACCTGGGAGAGAACAGAGCTTGGTCCTCCTGGGCCCTCACGCCTGGGGACTGACCCCCGCATGGCCCCCGCTGCTCCTCGCCCACCAGGGCCATGTGTGCACCCCCTCCCTGCGCAGGCCCCAGCCCCACACCCTGCCACCGCAGGCGAGGTTGGTGGTGGGACCCCCAGGCTGGCCGCCCTGCACTCACCTTGGTGGTGAAGGAGCCCGCCTTGGCGTAGTGGTTCATCACCTGCTCCTTGCGCAGGAAGCGGCAGTCGATGGCGTCTCGCCGGTTTGTCCAGATGAAATAGGGCATCTGGTTGCGAACCAGCCGCGACTGCCCATGGGAGAGGGGCTGGTGTGAGGGGCCGGGGAAGCCCAGGGGCACCCGGCCGGGTCTGTCCTGCCTAGGCTTTCTCAGCAGGCCAAACACCAGGGCACCCAGAGCCTCCGCGGTGCAGACAGGCCCATGCCCAGCAGCTGTCTGCAAGGGACAGGGCAGCGCAGCACACAGCCCAGCCACTGGACGTGCCAGCCCTCAACTCCTGCAGCCAAGGGTCCAGCAGAGCCCAGGGCTAGCCTCACCAAGCTCCTCAGTCAGACAGCTCCAAGGGGCCGCCCCTGCCCCTCCCCAGCCTGAAAGTCCCCTGCTCTGCCCCCGCCCTTCTAGGGTGACCAGACAGCAATTGTGAAAAATCAGGACAGGGGTGGGGGGTTATAGGAGCTTATATAACAAAAAGACCCAAAAACTGGGACTGTCCCTATAAAATCGGGACATCTGGTCACCTACCCCACCCCGTGCTCTGCCCCGGCCTGTACGCACGACTCTCAGCAGGCGATTCTCTGTGGAGGGTCCTGTGAGGCTGGCCTTCCCCCTGTGCCAGAGGGTGCAGGGAGATGGGGTGACCTGGGCTCCTCCACCCCCAAACTAACCATGAGGTCGTAGGTGCCATCAGGGTCATCATCCTGTTCCTCCTCTTCCTCGTCCTCCTCGTCTGGGGAAGAAGAGTAAGAGCCAAAGGGAGGCCAGTGCACCGCTGCCCCGGGCTCAGCGCTTGATGGCCCAGGCTGCTGAGTACTCTGATCTTGGGACCCACACGCTCCCGGGGACCTGGCAGGGCTGGGGGAGCACTCCCAGGGACAGGGCTGGGGGAACCTGGCAGGGCTGGTGCACTCCCGGGGACAGGGCTGGGGCAACCTGGCAGGGCTGGGGGAACCTGGCAGGGCTGGCACACTCCCGGGGACAGGGATGGGGGAACCTGACAGGGCTGGGGGAACCTGGCAGGGCTGGTGCACTCCCGGAGACAGGGATGGGGGAACCTGGCAGGGCTGGGACACTCCTTGGGGACCTGCCAGGCCTGGGGCACTCCCGGGACCGGGCCAAGCGTATCTCAGAATCTGGAGCCACCCCACAACAAGGCTTCATGGTTCCCCAGTAGTCTCCTTAGGGCCAGGGCCCAGGCTGACCCTCCTCCTGTGCTATGGTCCCCTGAGCTTGCTGCCCCCAGCGAGTCCTAGGCCTGAGCAGGGACCTGCGCTGGAGAGCCCATGGCCAGAGCAGCTGGAGAGCCCTGGCACTGGGAGAGGAAAGATCTGCTCTGGGGGGGGCCCTTTGTCGGGCCCCTCCACATGCCCAGCTCTCACCCTCCTCGGCACCGTCGCTGTCGTCCCCCTCCCCATCCTCCTCGCCGTCGGGTGCTCGTTCCCGTCGGCATGCCACCTTGGGGGCCTTCTTCTCCACCCAGCCCCGGCCACGCAGCAGGCTCCGGATCACGGGGTACGGGCCATGTAGCATGAAGATCTTCCTTTGCTGGAGGGGAAGGAAACTGAACGCTCCACGCAACGGGGTCCAGCCTGAGGCGCAGCTGGGCCCTGGACCCCCTTAGCACAGACATGCAGGATAGGCACTCCAGGGGGTCAGACAGAGCTCAGGCAGGCAGGGCCACACAAGGCCTGTGTTGGGGAACGCCTGGGATATGTGAGGCCTCAGGGTGGGAGGGATGTGGAGGGCTGGGGGAATGGGAGGGAGGCCAAGGGCATGTGAAGCCTGTGGGGGTGTGTGACCAAGTGGAGTTTTATTTGTCGTTATGTTGCATGTGAGTCCTACTGTCCTATACCAATCCTGTGTGTACCTCAGTTTCCCTGTGTGCTGCATTAATACTGCAGTGGTGGGAACTAGGTGTGTGATTTTGCTGAGGCTCTCGGGGCAGGTGAGACTGCCCAGCTGTTTGCAGCTGTGTAACCTAAGACACGAGGGGGGTGTGTGTGCAACCAGGTGACACCTTTTGCCCAGGAAGCAAGACAAGGAAAAGGAGGAGGGGCAAGAGCGGGTGTCTGAGGTCGGGTTGCTGGAAGCTAGGCAGTCGGCTTGCGGGAACGGAAGAGAGGAAATCCAAGGCATCTGGCCCAGGACTCCCAAGATGGACTTGGCTGAAAGTCACTGATTTCTCTGCTAACGAGCTCTGTTCTACGCTGTTTTCCTGTCATCTAATAAACCTTTTGTTTTACTGGCTGGCGGAGAGTCACGTCTGACTGCGGAGTTGGGGGGCAGGATCCTATGGCTGCCCCAGGAGCCCCACCCAGGCGGACTCGCTGTGGGAAGAGCACGGTGTGGAAGGGGATTTTGAATGCTCCGAGCTCAGACCCAGGAAGGTGGAAGCTGGGGAAGCTTCTTGCCCTGGAGATAGTCTGCTCCGAGAGAGGAGGCTCCCCCAGAGTCCTGCCTGGCTTCATAGGGAGCAGTTCCAGAGCATTGCCCGGGGACTCCATGACAGGGGAGGACATGGGAGCTGGGGGCATGTAAGACTTTGCTGACACAAAGTAAAACTATTTCCCCTTGTTTATTCCCCCCGCCCCCCTCCTCAGACGTTCTTGTTAACTGCTGGAAATGGCCCACCTTTGATTAGCACTACAAAGGGTTTTCTCTCCCCCGCCCCCCACTCTCCTGCTGGTAATAGCTCATCTTAAGTGATCACTCTCCTTTTCCACTGAATGCATCCGATGTCTCAGGAAAGCTTATGCTCAAATAAATTGGTTAGTCTCTAAGGTGCCACAAGTACTCCTTTTCTTTTTGCGAATACAGACTAACACGGCTGCTACTCTGAAACCTCTCCTTACAATGTGTATGATAACACCCATTTTTTCATGTTCTCTGTGTATATAAATCTCCTCACTGTATTTTCCACAGTATGCATCCGATGAAGTGAGCTGTGCCTCACGAAAGCTTATGCTCAAATAAATTGGTTAGTCTCTAAGGTGCCACAAGTACTCCTTTTCTTTTTGCTGGGGGAGAGTATGTCTGGGGGAGGGGCACGTAGGGGATGGGGAAGATGGGGGAGTGCATGGGTACCCGGGGAGGTTGCATGGGGTGGGGCAGGGAAGGGGAAGGCAGAGCCTGGCGTGCCCACAGGGCCTTTGGACAGGTGGGGATGTAGAGGAGGGGCAGGTAGGGCTGGAGGGAGGGGAAGCGGGGGAGGGGCAGGCAGGATGGGGGGGAGACAGGGAGGGGCAGGCAGGACCCAGGGGGAGGCAGTGAGGGGCAGGCAAATGGGGGGGCAGGCTGGGTCGGTGGGGAGGGCAGGCAGGGCGGGGGGGGGAGGCCGGGGAGGGGCAGGCAAGGCCTGTGGGGGAGGGGAGGCGGGCGCTCCTGGGGAGAAGATGGGCTGCAGGTGGGGCAGAGCGAACAGCCCCTCACCTTGACGGCTCTCTCCACGTGCATCCTGGCCTGCTTGAGGCGCTCTGGGTTGAGAGGGTAGCAGCCGCTGCTGCGCCGGGTGCGCCCCTCGCTCGGAGGGGCTGTGAGCCCTGGAATGGGAGAACAGCCCAGGGTCAGCTCTGCTAGACGCACTCCAAGCTCTGGAGCCCCAGCTGCCGCCCGCATGCCTGCCAGGCCATGCTCGGGGGCCCTCACCCATGGCACTCTGCTCTTTCTGCTGCTTCAGGGGGCCCTGAAGGAAGGGGGGTTGGCTCCTGGCAGTGCCGCTAGCCAGGAGGCTGGGTAACGGTCCCCCCTGTGTTGCCAGCCCTGGGCAGGTCATGTGCTAAGGAACAGTCCCCAGGACAGGCTATAGGGGGCGACGGGCTGAGGCGCGCCCCCCCGCAGTGGGCAGCATGGGGAGAACTGGCTGGGGGGCTCTTGGTCAGGCAGCGGTTCAGTCCAGGGTGGGGAAAGGGACCGAGCCAGGGACACTCTCCCCTGGTGCCAGACCCTGCGTGCTTCCACTGGGAGCCCAGGTGCCTTGGGCTGGCCCAGGCCATGCCCTGCATGCCTGGGGTTGCTCTGCTGCAGGGACTAGCCATGGCAGCCAGGTGCGCCAAAGAAAAGGGGCAGGGAGGGCAGAGAGAAGCGTTGGCCTGGACCAGCTGCAGGGCTCCTACCTTCCTGCCGCTGCCTCCTGGGGCCAGGGGCAGCAGGGCCCTTGCGGCGGGCAGGGAGCAGAGCTGCCTTCTCTGTGCCAGCATCCCCCTCGCCATCAGCACCTGCGTTCAGCCAGGGGAGCAGCACATCAGGGCCAGGCCCTCACCCGCCGAGCCTCTGTGAGCAACCTGCCAGGGTGTATGGAGCCCACAGCAGGCTCCAATGGCTGCCACTGTCTCTGTGGGAGGGGCTGGAGGGAGTGGTCTGGGGGTGTCCTACGCTCCTGCTAAGGCCAGTCTCAGGCCCAAATGGCTTGGGCTGACCCTGCCCCACCGGCCAGCGGCTGATGGGCTCCCAGTGTGGGCAGAGGAGCTGGCAGAGGAGCTGGCAGAGTTCATTCAGTCCCTGGGACTGGCAGTGCTAGTGCCCCGAGGCCTGCAGGAGCAGCTGTCCCACCCACCTGCATCAGACCTTCCCCTTCCCTGTCCCCCCACCCCCATGACTGTCACCTCCCGTGTGGCTCGCTGAGAGGGATGTCGATGCCCCTACATTTGGCTAGCGCCACCCTCCCAGCTCAGAGCCCCTGACAGACATTACTGAGTTCAGGCCCAGCATTCTCCAGATGGGGAAACTGAGGCACACAGGGGGGTGGGGGCTTTGCCCAAGACCAGACAGCCAGTGGGTGGCAGAGCCATTCGCCTCCCAGGCTGGCATGCCACCACTGCTTCCCAGAGCTGCACAGAGCCCCCCGACAGCGCCTCCTCCGCTCGGCAACCCCCAGCTCCCCTCACCTGGGAATCCATGGGGCGCGTTGCTCTCTGCGCAGCCTCTTGGACAGCCCGGCTCTGTCAGCATGGCTCAGCTCCCAGCCAGCCACCTGAGACGGAGAAGGAGAAACTGGTGCAGCTGCGCCTCCTTGCGCCCCACCAGCGAGTGCCAGGGCCCCTCGCGACCTGTCGACGCTCCCACAAAGCCGCACGTGGCCCCTGTGCAGCCTGAGACCCAAACACACCCTTCCAGAGGAGCCCCTGGCATCACCCCCAGGGCACCAGCTCCCAGCGCAAGGGCCAAGCGCAGTCACGCATGGGGCAAAGCAGCCTCCCCACCTGTGGCCAAGAGAGCGGAGCCAGGGGGCTCAGCAGCTTGACAGCCCCGGCCACGGCACGACCACAGAGCACATGGGGCCAGAACGAGGGCCTTGTCGCCAGCCCCATGGGGCCAGCTGGGGGACAGTAAGTAAGAGCCTGCACGCTGGCCAAGACAGCTCCGGTGCCCCAGGCAGCCAGCAAGGCCATGGAGACCACCTCCATCTCCCCGACTGTATCACCCCTGCCCTCCTCACCCCCCCAAACCTTGACCCCTACAGGCCCCCCTGGCTCCATATCGCCCCAATTCCCAACCTGACCATGACCCCACAGAGCCCCCCCATTATCATCCCCAATCCCCACACTGACCGTGACCCCCCCCGCCCTCTATATCGCCCCCAATCCCCCCACCGACCCCACGGACCCCAACACCCTCTATAGCGCCCCCCAAACCCCCCACTGACCCGACAGACCCCCCTGCCCTCTATAGCACCCCCCAATCCCCCCACCGACCCCACGGACCCCCCCCGCCCTCTATAGCACCCCCAATCCCCCCACCGACCCGACAGACCCCCCCACCCTCTATACCGCCCCTCAATCCCCCCACCGACCCGACAGACCCCCCTGCCCTCTATAGCACCCCCCAATATCCCCACCGACCCCACAAACCCCCCGCCCTCTATAGAACCCCCCATCACCCCATCGACCCGACAGACCCCCCCGCCCTCTATAGCACCCCCCAATCCCCCCACCGACCCCACGGACCCCCCCCCCCCTCTATAGAACCCCCAATCTCCCCACCGACCCGACAGACCTCCCCCCGCCCTGTATAGCACCCCCAATCCCCCCACCGACCCCATGGACACCCCGCGCCCTCTATAGCGCTCCCCAATCACCCCACCGACCCAACAGACCCCCCCCCCTCTATAGCAACCCCAATCCCCCCACCGACCCGACAGACCCCCCCGGCCCTCTATAGCGCTCCCCAATCCCCCCACCGGCCCCACGGACCCCCCCGCCCTCTATAGAACCCCCAATCCCTCCACCGACCCGACAGACCCCCCCGCCCTCTATAGCGCTCCCCAATCCCCCCAACGACCCCACGGACCCCCCCCGCCCTCTATAGAACCCCCAATCCCCCCACCGACCCGACAGACCCCCCCGCCCTCTATAGCACCCCAAATCCCCCCACCGACCCCACGGACCCCCCCGCCCTCTATAGAACCCCCAATCCCCCCACCGACCCGACAGACCCCCCCGCCCTCTATAGCGCTCCTCAATCCCCCCACCGACCCGACAGACCCCCCCGCCCTCTATAGCACCCCCAATCCCCCCACC